ATTACCCCGCTCGCCATGAAGTATGGTCCAATCGTCTTCTTCTAACAATTGATTATAGAAATACATTTTCAACAATACTCCTAACTGCCTAACCACCAAAGCCTCTGATTCTTAGCATCACTATCAGTTCATCCTTTATTCTAGCAAACAAAGTCTCTCGAAAAGTCTGCTTCAGAAACTAAAGTTCGCAAGCATCTAGCTCGCGATTAAGATATTAAAATAAGAACATCAAGAAGACTTGGCTTGACATTACAACATACATCCGACGAACTTGGCTTCACAAGAAGACAAGTGCAACTTACGTGTGCTCGAGAGACTGAGAATCCTATGCCTCTCAAAGGACCCTTACCAAAATCAAGCGCGGAACAAATTGATGAGCTTGAGGCTTCCGTCCGGGAATCTCCTGAAAATCGACAGACACGCTATTTGGAACTAGCGATGGGACCCTTCAGCCACTGGGGATGCAGTGAGGGTTTAATTTCTAATGCACTCAAAAAAAGAGGTTACAGTAGATGCATTGCTCGGAAGAAGCCTCCGTTAGGTGTAGTTAACTAGCAGAAAAGATTGGAGTTCGCCCAATCACACTTAGATTGGAGCGATGAACAATAAAGTCGCATAGTATGGGTCGATGAAATCTGGGTATCGGATGATTCTCATATGAAACCTCGTGTCACAAGAAAAGAACGTATAAATTCTATCAAAATCTTCCTAGTACTCACAGCAGAGTTTAGCCTGATGATGAGTTTGATGAGACTTGTATTGTGGCTCGCCATGCTCATGGGAATAGTTGGATATTTTGGGGATCATTTTACGGATCACAGAAAGGCCCATTCCTAGTTTGGGAGAGGGATTGGGGATCAATGAGGGCCTCATCCTTTTGTGAAAAGATTTTGCCACTTTTGAATCAATTTCACGTGGAAAATCCAGAAAATCTATACATGCACGACAATGCACCATGCCCTAGAGCACACTCAACAACTGAGGCGCTGCGTGAAGTTCGAATAAGGCCTATTAGATGGCCACCTTACTCTCCGGACCTGAACCCGATCGAGTCATTGTGGAACATCTTAATAAATCACATTCAGGTAAATAGTCCAGAGAAAAATGGGTCAGGCTTGTGCGCTCTGCCACATTGAAAACATTGCAGCAGGCCGCATGTGCCTCTATACCTTCTGAGGAGCTATTGTCACTAGTCGGTAGCATGCACGAAAGATGTGTAGCAGTGATGAAGGCAACTGGACGGTACACAAAGTATTAGTATGGAGAAGACTAATACAAAACATGTAGTACGCTTTCATTTTAGTTGTGAGCCATACTGAGGGCTTCGATGTAGACTTTTGTAATACAGAGTAATAATTTTTGAAATAATTGTGTATTTTTAGAAAATATCAATTTTTTAAATTTGAAATTTGAATATGAACCATTGTACTATTCCCTCAGAGCTGAAACCCATCCCTATAACTTAGACTTTTACGGAACATCGTTGGATAGTACTCCTGCTGGCATAACTAGCCGAGAAACTAGACATGGGTCTGCATGAAGACCATACCAATAGAGGCAATATGCACAGGGATTTCACCCCAGTCATTTTGACAATTGTACTTTTGATACCCCATAAGAGACTGTAAGTATGTGAACAATAGGTATGAGTATAAACAGAAGACGTTGCGTGAATAAGGATACTCCTTCACGTTGGGTCTATATGTACATCAGATACTAGGCCAGCCCTAAGCTCTGTCTCGAACAGTATTACTACGCAATCCCTATGAAATGACCCTATGTTCCTGAGCCTGTCCTAACTATTTGAGAACTTGATCTAATCTCGACTTGTATTTTAGAATGGAACTCCCCATGAAACACCATCCTAGTTTCCGCCACGTTTATCCATGAAACGGCCCCAGGGTGGTCAGTGCTGAATGGTTCCTCGCCAAGATCACTCTGGCGACCGGCGTGAGACCAATCCAGGTCCGACCCCATGGGATGTGTCAACCTGGGGCACTATATCGAAACTGGCATGCCCTTTTCGACCGGGACTCCGCCCTTTGTGTGGGCTTCCGCATTCTCGACGAGTCTGGAGCGGCTACAAAGTTCCAGCCTCGTCGCTAAATTGAACAGTGCAAACGCTGTTTGGGCTGCTACGTCACTCGTGGCTGCTCCCGCTCTCCATCCTGCTGGAACTGCGGATGTAACATGCACTTGGAAGCCGAGTGCATGGCCCTCATTAAATGTTGTAACTGTGGGGGACCCCACCGATCGGATTCTCGGGACTGCCAAGTCAGACCCAAAAAATCCGGACCGATGACAAAAGAGCAGCTCGCGTGGATACGTCAAATCGAACAAGGGGAGTTCGCGAAGGTGGCACGAGCTCGGGCTGCAGCCAAAAAGGCCGGAGAGGCTGTTATCGCCGCAGTGAAGGATGTCTCGGTGGCCGAAGCAAAAGGTTTCGGAGCTCTGGAGGCTGAAGAAGAAGTTTGAGGACACAGCAACCTCGACGATGTCCCCTTTTGGGGCATCTACTAACTATTAGCAGGATACCGGCTGGATTAAAGGTGCCTGCTAACTCATCTCTTGCTCTCAGCAGAGATTGAGTAAATTTGTCATTTGTAAGGTGTGACGGACGACGGGATGTATGAAGAGCACATTGCTTGAGTCCAGTGTGGAGGAATTTTCTGCTTTTTCGGAGTTGTTTTGATTTTCTTGAATTTTCGAATTTGTTCAATCAGCTGCACTTCTGGTGGCGATTCACGAGGTTAGAACGAGTTAGGCTGTAGGAGAGATTACAGGGAGCCCTGCCGGCTCCACCGGTCCTTGACCCAATGTGGAAAGGATAGCTTTAGCTTAGGACCAAAAAAAATTAAAAAATTATAACAGATCTTTCAAGCGACATAAGAGACAAGGAGCACTGCATAATGTGTGGCCTGGGTCAGAAAGGAGCCCGTTTGTGACGGGAACCCCGAGTTGGTGATGATAATGTCGATTTGATAAGCTGTATAAAGAAGAAAGAGAAATCCAGGTATAACTAACGGGTATTTATAACATTCAGCCCCTCAGTGATTGTCTTGACTGATTTCTTCACTCCAGGCCGAATACTTGCCACCCAGCCACATATTATCAAGAATCACTACGCTGTGACACTGATTTGGCCCCTTGGCTGGTAGTGCCGTATCTTCCAGTCTCCTCTATCATTTCCTTACAGTCTCACAACATGAATCTTCAACAATACGCCATAGGGCACGACCCTCACCATCTTTTGGCAAAAATTGAACACAACCACATACAAATTTACTATTAACTTTAAAGCTATTTAGATAGTTTAAGCTGTCCTTCATAGTCATAGACTCAGTAGGGACATAAATAAAATTCTATTCTACTCTATTCAACAATACGCTTGGGTATCCACACAAGCTGTCAAACTCGAGGGTACCAGGGGTTGTGTTTTATGGATAACTTAGAAGTGCGAGTGATATCTGACAAGATTTGTCATAGACTAAGGTATTAATTCGGGATTCTAGCTATAACTGAGGACAAGGGACAAGAGACAAAGTCATTGGAAGACGGAAAATAAGACGTAGCCCTCTACATTGGCTCTACCCAACCCATATATATATCATAGTGACCAGAGCAACTAAGGCTTCAAGGGGTGCACCTGCTGCTATTCTATTACTTCATTTTTAACCCATAGCAACCATTGTAACCCGGTAAACGCTCTAAGATGAGAGAATATTCAGATGTAGTGTAGGGAAAGAATATGAGGGTGCTGCTCTATCCTCAGTTCCTGACACAAGCTCAGACATCGGCCAAACCGTAACACCGTTGTGCTAGATAGTCGTAGACTCTAGTAGAATAATAAACACCACCGAAATTACATTATAGATTGTTCCTATCCCTGGCAATGACACCGTTTCCGTTTTGGATATCTCTATCCCACTCAAATATACTACTCTTGTGTTAAGATGTCAAGATTTAAACAAATTCAACGTTATCGAAAGTGTTCCTAAGAATACAAGACCATAAAATGTAGAACTCATGTCACCCAGAATATCCATTATATATTCGTCTCTATTGTTCTCGAATTTTCCAGTATACCCTCATGTAGAATAGTATGACAAGGATAGATTAGAGTAGAATAGTGTAGTGTAGAACAGAACAGACTAGGATATCATAAAGCAGAGTAGCTCAGAAATCTTCCGACTTGGTTCTTATCTTCAGATGAGGCTCTCAGTCCGCGAAATCCTGTACCTCACAGCCATGTCTCATCCTCGGAGGTTTTACAATAGTCATATTGCCACTTGTAAGACTCTGCCTCTGAGAATAGATTCCAAATAGCTCTACGTTAAGCCTGCCTTAGCCAGCGTAGGCTACAGCCAAATACCAGCTTACCAACTTTCACACTGTTCCCTTAATGAGCCCAAATTATTGAGGTTTAGGCTAATTACTAATAATGCTGTATGCACAAGGATTTCCCGACTCAGAATACCTGCATATATCAGTAGCTGTTACGACAGCTTTGTATTATCTTGGAAGCTTCAACAGGTATTTGGAGTGAAGTGTAATAAATATTTATCTGATATTAATCCTAAATGAGGAGCAGAAGGCCCTATTAATAAACAAGGGTTATTTATCCATTTCTCTAAATTTATCTTTGTGAAACTGGGGTGTAATATTCATGTTTTCCCTGTTTGGTGAACATGTGGTCATTAGTGCACATCATACAAGAGATAATAGACAGTTAAACTCCGTCGGGGTAACCAAGTAAATTCAATTTTACCCTCACAAAATGAGTGTTATTATAATCATCCTACAACCAATAATAATTTTATCTGAAAAGGAATGAGAATCTTTTTGTCTAGTCACAAAATAGCATCACTCAGGATCCAAGTACCACCTGAAGGAGAACTCTTTTAGAGCTAAATAAACATCTGATTTACGTAAGACTGTTTGTATTTTTGCATTTTCTAGGAGTCTGAGCTAATTTATCACAAATAAACTTCAAGATTGAAATGAATTGTCAGAAAATATTCCTCAAAAATGGTGCTTTCAAATATATAACAGATTATTTTAAACTTCATAATCATCATCATCTCATCAATTTATATTTAAAATTCTTCGACTACTTTAGAAGTAAGTTTTCCTTCCATATATTGATATGAATCCAGTCATAAATTGAAACATAAGAAAGACTTTTAACCAATACTATTTCTATAGAGATATTCGAAATGAGATCTGCTAATCTTGCTTCATTGTCCTTATTTTTTGGCTTTTTGATTCTGGAAAGTGCTGCAGACTATGTATGCTCGGGTGGAACTCGAATACCAGATAATGATGTCGAGGCAAGAGCAAATCAGATTTACTCCCGAGGAGTATCCCTCAACGCTAGTCGGACTCCTGGTCAAGATCGAGTAGAAGATATCGAGTTTGATGGTGATGCAGATAGTGGAGATTTGGCTTTTACAGGCGACTTTTATCCTCAAATAACATGTAAGTTGACTTTACTACTTTGGTAATAAAACAGCTAGTAATATTTCTCTCTATCTATAGCTTCTGGAACATATAAAATTACGGTCGATTATCCATCAAAAAAGATATTACTTTTAGAGACTACCGTATTTGTGGGTGGAAACATTGTAGTAAATTGTAAAAAACATTAAAGCTTAATATTATTTACAATATTTGAACTATTAGGCCTCCCTGACTAGAAAGATAGTTTTCCAGTTACATAAGTGTTTTCAATTTGAATCTTCAAAAAAAAATTTATTCAAAGAGAATGAAAATGACTCACAAGATGTGATAGGCAGTCAAAAGATTAATGTTAAAAGAAAAGTTGTCCAAACAATCTCTATTTATAGATTTGTCTTGGAAATGCTTATTGAAGAATGTGTTAGTTCCACTCAGGTTGGACGTTGCGGCCTCAGGCCATTAGGCTTGTAAGACAATACGAGCTGACTAATCTGTAGAGGCCTATGCGTCTCATCTAATCCGCACAGGTTCGAAACACCCTTCATTTTTTTTAATTCATTTTATTGTCCTGTCTGAGTCTATGACTATGTAGGACATGCAGGTCCTATCTGCCTACAGGCCAAGGATACCTATACCAGTAGTATACCCCCTTCTATGCCTCCCATACAGCTCCCCTCAAACAGTACCACCCGTCACAAGTCAACATTCAATCATACACTAAGAGGAGCCCTTAGCTCTTCATTATCTCCACTCTCCAGCCAACAAAACGATGGCCATTTGCGGGTGTATGGCAGCCGGGAAAAATCGCAAAAAACCACTGGGTGCGGGGCTCTCCTAATACCGACATTAGGAATAAATCCGAAGACATATTGCCCCTTCTGAAGCGTTCGAAGAGGCCGGCCAGCTAGACGCTACAGACTTGTGGGTACCTCGGAGAATTCACACTCTGCCTTTCTAGCCTCCTTCCAACTCCATCCCGAAGGTCGTGCTGAAATGTCTGAAAAGTCTTGATAGAGCGTGATTGCTGTATGGTAGCTAATCCCAACTTCTTTTGTACCGTCCAGGGCGCTGGGGAGTGTCGTTGACTCATCGACAAAGGAAGTCCTCCTGGCTAAATAGCAGAAATCTCGGTCTTGGCGCCCACAAAAACTCCAAAGTTGAGAACTCCTCAAAAATATCGGTCCCAGCATGGTCTTCAGAGGCCTGTTCCCCCACTCGCTCCACATCTCAGCCGCCTGTCCTTCCTCAAGATTTATAACCCCATTAGAGCAACAGTCCCCCATGAACCATGACCCGATCTTTGTATATTTTGATTTAATTTCCTCCTTGCGGGTATACGTAGCGTCGTAAATTTGTAGCGATTGATGGCTGGAGATTAATGGGGCAAGCCCCTGTATGCAATTGGAGCAACTTCTTTGTTGGACGTCGAGGCGAGATAATGCGTGGTTAGAGATGGGTTGAAGACTCAGATGATAATGATGAGAAAGGCATTGTCGAGAAATTGTCAAATGGAGATGTGTATGAGGTTGCTTACGACTTCGATTCGGATGAACACCCTAGATATATGTAAGAATAATAAATACAATTCAGTACACTCTATTTCCATTCCCCAGCACTAGTGCTTAAGTCCTGTCAACAGAATGACAAATTTAGATATCCCAACTCCAAATGCGCAGATAACCTTATCTCTTCTATTACACCATATCCATCATGGATGAGTCTCGTTGGAATAAAGTCACGAGTAGATTACAGAGACGCAAAAACAAAGAAAGGGCGAGAATTGTCACAGTCTAAGCATAGGCACTTGGGTAACCTTATGGTCAGAGGTAGTTTATTTTTAATCTATGGTGAACTACAGAATGAAGAGGACTTACACCTAACAATTATCAATTATACATCGCATTACCCATTATCTTTATTTACAAGAATCTTCAATCGGTGCAATGGCCCCAGCTGTTGCATCGTCATCGACAACGCCCTCCAATCCAGGAGGACAACTTCACCCAAGCCTGCTTGGCATTGTGAATACAGTGCAAAAAGCAGAACAACAACGGAAAGAAAGACTGGATATAGCCCAGGAATTTCTAGAACTAATCGACTCCTGGGCTAAGGGCAAAGGAGAGAAACAAGGAGTAGCAGATGTCGCGACTCTGCTGGAAAACATCACACCTGTTATCACTGCTTTCGCAGTAGATCAGGCAGAGGCATCTAACTTTCAAAGTAAGAAGCCCCCCACCATGGCAAGCACTCCAAAACCAGTCGCGCCTAGGGAAAAATACAGCTGTTGAGGATCACAGCCACGCTCTACCCCCAAAGCCTCAAGACACCAGCTCGCCCTGGGTGACAGTAGCCCGCAAAGCGGCCAAGTTACCGACACCACCAAATGTGCAAGTTCCGCAAAGGCCTGCTCCATCAAGCCACCCGAAACCACAGGCAACCCAAAAGGAGGACAGACGCCTGTTCCTTCGATTGGGGAGAAATCACCACTGGCACAAGCTCTCGCCAGTTACGATCAAGAAAATCATAACCGACAAGGCTGAGAAAGCAGCCTCAGCCATCACCTCCATGTACCCAGTCAGGTCGGGGATCGCTCTCGAATGCGCATCAGATGCATTGAGAGATACAATCATACGGATTGCACCTTCCCTACAGGAAGACAACACCGTGATTGAGGAAGCGTCCAAATGGACATCATTGATTGTACCTCATGTGCCATTGTACATCAGGACGCTTGAAGGCAGCATCCCAGTCACCAACGATATGGTGAAGAACGAGTGCCAGGCTATATGCGGTGCCACACCAATCCAGGAAAGGCCCACAGAGACAAAACTTGGTCAATACTCAACCAGCTGGATTTTTCATTTCCAACAAAAACCAGCAAACACAAAGTTTCGTCTCTTTGACAAGTGCGGACCAGCAATTCCCTTCTCGCGCCGAAGACCAATCGAGCAATGCCAACGTTGCTGGGGATTCCACACAACGCGTTCCTGTACTCAGAGCCAACAATATAGGGGATGTGGGGGAACCCATGAGACATCAGAGTGCCAGGCAAGGGTGTTAAAGTGCTCTAATTGCGCGGGATCTCACCACTCAAATGGGGGCATCTGTATGGCCCGGCCAAGACAACAAATCGGGATAATTTTGCCCCGTACCCCGGCAGAACTCCACATCATCAGAGAACGCAGATATCGTGATTATCACGCTGCTCTAGCGTACTCAGAAAGGAAGGGTAAGGCGGTTGAAACTGTCATTGCCTAGGACTCAACAATGTCGTGTTAATGTTAGGAAACCCCTCATCAAAAGTACCAAAAGACAAGTACAACACCGTCCACTTTCACCAAGTGAATGTCGGAAGGGGTGAGGAAAATACGGATATAGTATTGCAGCAGGCATGGGATGCCGGTGCACATGTAGTCATGGTACAGGAACCATGGACAAGAAAGAAAGAGGGGGGTTTTATAACAAAAAGTCACCCTGGCTACAATAGCCATATACCTTTTGAAGGAACAGACATCCGGCCCCGCACGATTACTTTCACGCGCTAAGGTAGTCATGCAACTTAACTATTTCCACTGTTGTCAGGCCTGACATCTGACTACTGTTTTGTAAAGATGGGCAGCATAACCTTTGTCAACGTATACCGTGCCGCAGGTACTAGTGGAGCCTTGGAGCTCCTACTCCGGTGGGAAACTAGAGGTCTGGTGGTTGTTGGAGGCGATTTCAATTCTATGTCACAGCATTGGCAACCGCTAGCAACAAATCAGTACGGCAATGGTAACCAGATTATGGAATGGGCAACAGCCCACAACATGGACCTAGTCAGCATTGTTGGAGAGCCAATGCGCAGGGATGGGAATGTGTTGTGCTCAGCTAAGGAAGCCCTGGCAGGTAGCGCATGGAGAGTGAGTGTGTCATCAAGGTACCTCAGGCATGGACAACTCACATGACATGTTTGGCGCATTTGTTCAGGCAAGGCACACTGCATGAGTAAGCATGATGGGCATATGATTCGCTGGTAAGCGAGTTCATGGGGTATAAAAGGGGAGTATTTCCCACTGTAAATTAGAATAGACATCCATAGAGTCATCTACAATTTACTCTCAATAAAACATCATATCTTAGCCGTCAAACACAAGTGTACGTTCCCCATTTCATACACCAAGTAAAACAGAATGTCCTAGATCTAACGTGGAGCAACATGGCCGCCATAGCATTAGTGTCCAACCGCTACCACTGTACCTCAGATCACTCGACCATCAAAGGTACCGTGCTTAACCCTACAGTGTCAGATCTCTCTGGGATTGTAAAGAACATTTGTGTCAGCAACGCCAACTTGAAAGAATTTAGCCGAAGCGTTAGCCAATGGACCAAATCTGGCCCTCTAGACAGTGTCGTCAACGTCGAAAACTTCACAAATGATCTCTTACAAGCACTTGGAGATGCGCTCAAGATTCCAGGGAAAGTCCCAGCCATCGAAAGCGGAAAAACTGGGCTATGGTGGACCGATGAATGTCGCATAGAATGGCAAGATTACAAGGCATCGAGAGACAACCCTGACCTCGCGAAAGAGGCCCGCAAGAGCTTTAAAGCCGTGGTGCGAAAAGCCAAGCGAGAGTACTGGAAGAGGCAAGTAGAGGCAGTGACTACTGACGCACAGGTATTCAAGCTCATGAGATGGGCTAAGCTTCGACCAGCTGCTGAGCCCCCTCCCCTGCAGATTGATGAAAACCGGTGGCTATCTGATCCGCGAGAGCGAGCTAGTGCGACAAGACATTCTCTTGGCTAGGTTTAGCGGCCAGAACGACATCTCTATCAGGGAGAACGGACAGGAGGAGCGTATTCCATGGGATACGGAATTATCACTGGACGATGTGACAAGCGCCACTGTCTCTGTCAACGACACGGCACCGGGAGCGGACAAGATAACGGTACGGTTACTAAGAGCCTGTTGGTCCCATCTAGGACATCTCGTGAAAGATCTTTACCAGGCTTGTCTGAAAATCGGCTCCTTTCCCACGGCCTTCAGGGTGGCAGAAGTTGTGCTTCTTCCAAAGCCGGGTAGAAATCTGTCAACTGCAAAGGGTTGGCGACCAATCTCGCTGTTGTCGAGTTTAGGCAAAGGACTTGAGCTGTTGAAATATGATATATCTTGGAATGCCAAGAATAACTCATTAGTAAGTCCGGCTAATTT